CTGCAGTCAGAATGGCAATTATGAAAAATACAAGTAACAATAAATGTTGGTGAGGATGTGGGGTAAAAATGTTCACTCATACGTTGCTGGTGGGACTGCAAATTGGTGCAACCACTCTGGAAAGCAGTATGGAGATTCCTCAGAAAACTTGGAATGAGACCACTATTTAACCTAGTTATTCCATTCCTTGGAATATACTTAAAGGACTTAAAATCATCATACTACAGAAATGCAGCTACATCAATGTTTATAGTAGCTGAATTCACAATAGCCAAGCTATGGAACCAACATAAGTGTCCTTTAGCAGATGAATGGAATAGGACTCCTATAGTGCAAGAATTAAAACCAAGAATCAATAAATGGGATTAACTCAAACTAAAAAGTTTCTTCTCAGCAAAAGAAACAATCTATGAGGTGAATAGAGAGCCTACATCTTGGGAGCAAATCTTTACCCCTCACATATCAGATAGAGCACTAACCTCTAGGGAATATAAAGAACTCAAATAAGCCAAACACACACACAAAATGAATAACCCAATCAATAAATGGGCCAAGGACATGAACAGATACTTCTTAAGAGGATATTCAATCAGTAAACAAATGTATGAAAAAATGTTCATCATCTCTAGCAATTACAGAAATGCAAATGAAAAATACTCTAAGATACCATCTCACTCCAGTCAGAATGGCAGCTATTATGCATACAAACAACAGTAAGTTTTGGTGAGTATGTGGGGAAAAAGGCACACTCATTCATTGCTGGTGGAACTGCAAATTGGTACAGCCAATATGGAAAATAGTATGGAGATTCCTTGGAAATCTGGGAATGGAGCCACCATTTGATCCAACTATCCCTCTCCTTGGACTATACCCAAAGGACTTAAAAACAGCCTACTACAGGGACACAGCCACATCAATGTTTATAGCAGCACAATTCACAATAGCTAAACTATGGAGTCAACCTAGATGCCCTTCAGTGGATGAATGGATAAAAAAAATGTGGCATATATACACAATGGAATATTACTCAGCAATAAAAGAGAATAAAATCATGGCATTTGCAGGTAAATGGATGGCATTGGAGAAGATAATGCTAAGTGAAGTTAGCCAATCCCCAAAAAACAAATGCTTAATGGTTTTCTGATATAAGAAGGCTGACTCATAGTGGGGTAGGGAGGGAGAGCATGGGAGGAATAGATGAATTCTAGATAGGGAAGAGGGGTGGGAGGGAAAGGGAGGGGGAAGGGGATTAGCAAGGATAGTGGAATGTGATAGACATCATTATCCAAAGTATTTGTATGAAGACATTAATTGATGTCTGGGAATTTATATACAAACAGAGGTATGAAAAATTGTTCTATATGTGTAATAATAATTGTGATGCATTCTGCTGTAATGTTTTTAAAAAATAAAACCAATAAAAATGTGATGTATATATACACAATGGAATATTACTTAGCTGTAAAGAAGAATGAAATTATACCATTTGCCAATAAATGGATGGAACTGGAGACTATCATACTGAGTGAAATAACCAGTTCCAAAAACTCAAAGGCTGAATGTTCTCTGTGATATGTGGATGCGAACCCATAACAAGGTAGGGTAAGGAGGAGAAGTATAGAAGATCATTGGATTAGACAAAGGGGGATGAAGGGAAGGGAGGAAGGATGGGACTGGGGAAATACAGTAGAATGAATCAGACATAACTTTCCTATGCTCATATATGAATACACAACCAGTGTAACTCCACATGGTGTTCAGCCACAAGAATGGGATAAAAATTGTAATGGGTTGTACCCGGTGTATGTATAATATGTCAAAACACCCCCTACTGTCATGTATATATAAAAACAACAAATAAAAATTAAAACAGAAGTTACATTTATTAAAAGGAAATAAACCTTTGAAATCATAAAGTGCCATGCTTACAATACATTTTTAAGTTTTCATTATAACTCAGGATTTTATAAAAACATTCATTACATACAACCCTCCCAAACCATTACTTAAAACCTATAAAATTTGAAGGATTTTGAGCACTTCATTGGAGAAGAGTAATGAATGATGTTGGTTAATCAAGAGGACTATAATGGAATTACATTGAAGCACCATATGGGAAACATTTTTTAACCTTTTAATAAATCATCTATATGCTTATATTTTATTTTTATTTTTTGTTTCCCAACTTGCTGTGTTTATTTAATCAGAAAACAAGCAAGTAGACTTTATTGTATAACACATAGATTTGATATACTGTGCCAAACTTGTCTGTTTGAAAGAAACAATCTTTACCAGTAACTTTAATTTACTAGTAATTTTAAATTTAAAAGAGAAAATGCTGTATGTACACTCACTGGAGGGCAGTAAATCATGATATACATTGCCACAAAGCAGGAATCTGAGGAGGACTGTGTAGAGAACATAGGATCTTGCACTGGATAAAAGCGAGTTGGCTTTTTATGTTTTCTCATTTGTAGAATGAAATAGTAACAACTCCTGACAAGTAGATAAGGCACTTGAATTGGTAAACAGTCAGTAAAACAGTGGATATTGTTGTTACTTTATCTAATCTGAAAGAGATATGGAAATACAGATAATGAACGAATGTGATATCCGGTTCTAAAATTACTAGCTTTGGAAGGAGACAGATTTGATAAATCTCTTGGTAGATTTGTCCTTATCAGTCAAAAAAAAAAAAAAAGAGTAATTCTTGTAAAGATGGTAAAAGAAAAACTTCAGACAACATAAACTTAACAGAGTTTATTTGAGCAATGAAGCAATTCAGGAATTGGGTATTTCTCAAACCAGGAAAAGTTTCAGATAGCTTTGTTCCAGCAGCATGAGGAGTCAGCTTATATAGGCCAAAGAGAGAAATAAAGAAATTACTTGTTACAAAGCAGAGGATTAGCAAGAATGGTGGAATGTGATAGACATCATTATCCAAAGTACTTGTATGAAGACAGAGGTATGAAAAATTTTTCTATATGTGTAATAAGAATTGTGATGCATTCTGCTGTCATGTATTTAAAAAATAAAACCAATAAAAAATGTGGTGTATATGTACACTTAGGTTGGTTTTTTGGTTGTTGTTGTTGTTGTTTTTTGTTTTAACATTTGATTGACTGAATGTAATTGGCTGAGATTTGTTTTTTTTTTTTTTTAAGTTGATTATAAGAAATGCTTCCTAGCTCAGTTTCTATTACCTTATGTAGGGAACCTGGCTGCCGAGCCTTATGCTAATGGCTTCCTGATTTAACCCACATAAGTAATGCCCACCCTCAACCCCCAGCCTGGCCTTTACAAGTCTTTCTTACTAATTCTTCTAATACTTGCCACTTACCATCTACCTCAGGTATCTATGTGGGCTTTTAGTTTTGTTAATACTGTTATTACTATTATCATTTGAGATGGGTTCTCACTATGTTGCACAGGCTGTCCTTGAACTCATGGGCTCTAATGATCCTCCCATCTCACTCTCTCCAATAGCTGGAACAGCAGGCAGGTACCATCATGCTTGGCTTATACATGGGCTTTTAACTGAGTACTGAGTGTCCTTAACTACGGATGAAGAAACCCTTGACTAGGATGTGTAGATAAAACTAGTTATGTAAGGAATTCCATTCACCAAGCTATGGCAGCCCAAGCTGCTTTTGAGTGGATTTCATTCACTGATCCATGAGGATTTCTTTTGTGGAAGATTTTCACCCATCAAAATGATTCATTTCTAGTTATTCATACAAAGAACTATTAAGGAAGAATTTTAGCCGTGTGTTCTGGTGTCCTTGGGCATTTTTTTAAACTAGCATATCTGTTGATATGATTAAAAATATTATAATCCAGTCCCATTTAGCATAGTAGTGTGCAAACAACAGATTTTAACTTTAAAAAAATCCTTGTTTTGTGACCTTTTTCCATTTGCTAGAAATGCGTCCTTCTGAAAAATACCAAATTGCTGTTTTTCTTACTTTTCTCATTCCTAAAACAATATGACCCCTTTTGTATCAAATATGTATATGAAAATGCATGGTAAATAATGTAGAATTATATACATTATTATTATTACTATTCTTGTCACACTTAATTTAAATAAGTTCCTTCTCCATAACCCTGTGTGATTCTGCTCTAGGGAATATATTATTATTTTATATTTTGGTTTAACTGAAGGTGATCATGATTGAATCCAATGGTGAGCTTTTATTTCCCGTATTTGGGACCCTTTTATCACTGTCTTGCATTTCTCACAGTGTAAAAGAAATGAAATAATTCTTTGTATGCCTTGCAAATGTTTTTCATTTCTCAAAAATGTTTAATAAACTCTGTGGCTTATATTATCACTAAAACAAATGAACATGTGAGATTCATGAAGCTTTGAGTTCCACATAAAAAGACTTAAATTCATCCCTAATGTCCTAGTTAAAAAAAAAAAATGCATTTCTAGACACAATGAAATTCTAAAGCCATAACAAATCCAAGTTGCACGTATGGTCTTTCCCCTTCAGGTTTTGTCATTCTGCCTTGGTGGATATTCAAATGGAGGAACTCAAGGGAATTCACATGATCTGATAGAAGTGGTGGGTGATTGGAAGGCTGTGGTGGACGCTTGTGTCCATATGAACTGAGGCTTAAGTATGGCTTCAGACACAAGATGGCCCTTAGAGATCTCATCTCCATGATGAACTAGACGTCTCCTGTAGTAGCAATTTGGGCTTTAAAAATCCATGAGGCATTTGTAGGAGACGAGATGCTGTGTTGGCATCACCATCAGCTCTGCATCTGGCTAATTACAGACTCACTTTCTAGATCCCACATGACTGTCCCTATCATCCCTTCTATTTCAAAAGCCTCCCTATGTTTGTGTATTACTAATATTCTCTGGAGGGAGATTAAAGGGTACTGTATTTAAAGTCTATTCATTTAGCATTTCTGAATTAAAGACACTATTATCTTCTATCACTTTCCTCTCTTAAACGTATCTTTTTTTTTCTTTAATATTGTTATAGCATGTCAATGAAAAAACCAGTGGATCACCTTCCAAACCAGGAGGAAAGAAAGGATCAGATGAGGTAATTTCCACAGTACTTCATTTTCATTTTCTCTTGCTTGTAAACTGTGAATTCTCTTTTGAAATACTAAGTAATAATGTAGTAAAGAGTTTGTACTGGTCACTTTAGTTTTAACTAAGATTTGATTCATGAATAGAAGTAAAAAAATCACTAAAAATAAATTTTAAAAAATTTCCTCAGAAAGGAACTTTTAGAAATACTTTCAATTTAGAAATAAAATTCAGTTTTTTAAAAGTGTATTCCCTACAAGACTGGTACATCTTAATTGTTTGGTTGGTGAACATGATAGGGATAGAAGGGCAGCCAAATGCTGTAGTAGGAAAGGAAACCCTTTCTCAAGAGAGTGCACCACAAAAGGAGGACAATGATGGCCTACATTAACTATTCGGGTTTGTAGACAAAAGGAAAAGTGAACTATTTTTATGTGCCTTGGTTCTTTGTAATACTAGTAAAACCAAATCTCCCCACTCCGAGATGGGTTTTCTTTGCACCTGTGAATCTCTCCATTCACTGAATGACGCACTATTCTGTGCACCTTCAGCCTTGACCTACTTGTCTGGGGAAGGGTCGTGTGAAAGTTCAGTCTTTTGAAAGGATATTGGATTTGCCTTCATTTTGATGCTTTTTTACACATTAAGAATCAGGAGATCTATTCATCTTCAGTCAGTAGAAATTGTGTTATCTCCACCTTCTAAAGGTCAGAAGCTGATCCTAAAAGATATATGGAAATTTAGAAAGCATAGAGTGCTTTATTTTATCTTCATACTATCAAGATTAAGCTGGCGTTTTGGAAACTTTAGTCTTCTCCCTGCTTATTCTCTGCAGTTCCAGAATATTCAATACCTCCTGACTAGAAGCTACTATATATTCTGCACTGTTTATTTCTCGACTTTCTACCATTGTTTCCATTACCAATATCCATGAAAATATAATTTAGATTATTTCTTTTACTTTTATTTATTTATTTATTTATTTTTAAATTTTTTATTAGTTGCTCAAAACATTACAATGATCTTGATGTATCATACATTTGATTCAAATGGGGTACGTAATCTTATTTTTCCACGTGTACATAGATTATTTCTTATCAATCAATTTTGTATTAAACTTTTTTGTTGCCATACAGAGTAAGTTTTTAGAAAATAAAAAGTAAAAATAAATTTATATTAAGGATTCATTTTTTAATTATTAAAGAAATAAATTTCCATATGAAAAATAATGTATTTCTCTCTTTTAATGTCTGAAACTCTATCTGGCATCATTTAATCTCTTTATCAACTGTACTCTTTAACTATATTCCCAAATAAGTGATTAACCAAATCAATTATTTAGACAAATAGCAAACATTTCCTATTTGAAAACAATATCATTCCTCTACTCTACAGACTATGATACATGTTTTTGGATATCTTTCTATTAATATTAATCAATATTAAACTATTTACACATACACACACACATACACACACACACACACACAGCAAAATCTTTTCCAACACAGTCAAGTGTTTTATATGGTCTTTCTGGCCAATTATGTTATAACTTGGAGGCTTAAATAGTAAATCCTGAATGTTGTGTTAGTTTTCAGTGCTGTGACCAAAACACCTGACAAAAGCAACTTAGAGGAGGAAAAGTTTATTTAGGCTCTAGGTTTCAGAGGTTCAGTCCATGGTGAGTGGAGTCGATTCTCTTGGTGCAAGGTGAGGCAGCACATCATTGCTGAAGGGCATGATAGAGAAGTACTGCTCTGTTCATGGAGGCCAGGAAGCAGACACAGAGAGAAGAAGGTGCTTTGGGGGCAATGAACCCTTTCAGAGCATTCCCATGGTAACCTATGTCCTCCAGTCATGCCCCTCCTGCCTACAATTTCCACCCGGTCCATTCAAATTTGGATGAATTTATTAGATTGCAATTCTCACAATCCAGTCATTTCACTTCTGAATAATCCTGCATTAACACGGACGCTTTGGGGGATGCCTCATATCTAAACCATAACAAATGTCATCAGCATTGCTTGTTTAGACAACAACTGCTGGCACAGAGTTGTCTTTTTATTATATCTGGAGTATAAACCTCTCATCTTGTCTTTATAAAAGGGTTGGGAAACACTTCTTAGACATCCTACGACAAATGCCACCAGGGAAGAAGTCAAGGTTTTGGGTCCATAGAGGTAGACACAGTACTTTGATTTTGAAACTGGAAGGCTGAACTTCTACCTCAACAGGAAGAAGAACGGAGATATCTTCTGTCTCTTAGTAATCAAACAATTCTGACATTGTTTTATAGCATCACTGGAAAATTCACATTTACAACCCGTAACCTTTGCTGGAGCCTGGGTATGTTGGTTTTTTCGGCCAGCAGACATAGAGAACAGAGCCATTGCCTTTGCTCCCTTGTCTTATATTATTGATTTAGACAAAATAAATGCAATAGAGTTTATTTGAGAAAAAAAAATTCAAACAAGGCAGTACTGAAAACTGGAATTGTTTCAGAGAGCTCTCTGCTCTCTCACCGAATTCTGCCCATGTCTGTTTGCCAGAGTAGACAAGCATGGGTGTAAATGATTCATTCCCCAAGTGTCTAGCATCACCTTATGTTCAAGTAAGCCACTGATGAGATATCTTGGCTCTGGAGACAGTTCAGGCAAATCACATTAGACATTGTTTTGCCTATGTGTTCATGATTATAAGATCATGTACAATCTGAATTTGTTATCTAACCTACCCTTCTGTGATCAGTTATCATTAACTTTCTTATCTCATTTACCAGAGAAAGGTTTCCTAAACTGATTCCTTTTTCCAAACAGTTTCTTATCTGCTACTCTGCTGAATAAAGAGTATACAAGGGAGACTAATGGATCATAGTCTTCTCCTCTGCTTTCCTCCCATCCCCATCCTGTGCTCCAAAGATTGAATGACTTGATAGCAGAAAAACAAAACATTTAACCTCAGCATATTATGAACCACAAAGAATAAAATTCTTGAGATTGTGGTTTCTTCATTTTTCAGTTCTAAATTACTATCTGTGTAAACTTTCTATGTACTTAAAAGCCCCTTGGGAATGTCTCTATTTCCAGATATTTATCTACCTGGATATTTATAAATAAATACATTTTCATTGTAGGTCCCTGTTAATGATGCTCTTATGTTATCTTTGTTTAGAAGTTGGGATGTCATGTATAACTAATTAAGACAAATAAAAAAAAGAAATCAGGATATGTGACATTTCACCAAACATAAAGTTACCCTTCTGTACTGTGCATTCCATACCTAGGGATTCAATCAAACTTTGATGTAAAATATCTGGGAAAAAAAGTGTCTACACTGTACATGTGTACACTTTTTTCGCATGCCATTATTCCCTAAATGATATAATATACTATAATGGAACAACTATTCACATTGCTTTTACATTGATATTGGGTATTATAAATAATCTAGAGATGATTTAAAATATTCAGGAGGATTTAAGTTTATGGAAATACTATGCCATTTTATGTAAGGGTCTAGGGCATCATGGATTTTGTACCTGTTGGGGGTGGGGAATCCTGAAACCAATTCCACAGATACTAAGGGAGGACTATATAGGAGTAAAAGAGACATAGAGAATATGCCAAGATGTAAATAGTGGCCATCTCTGTGGGTGCTAGAATTCTAGAAGGTGGTATCTTTTAAAAAATCATTGGCATTTTCAAGACTTTTTTCAATTATTATGTTTTAGCTATATTTTTTAAAAGTTATCAAAATAGTACATATAGTAATTATGCTAAGCACTCTACCAACTGATATATATATCCCCAGCCCCATAAAATATTTATGAGTACACAATGTTATTACATTGATTTAAGAATACACACAAAATTTTGTAGCAGTGGTTATAATTAAGTGTTGAGACTCTGGGTATTAGTATTATTTTTTTGCCCAAGTACATATTACTTTTGTGATTTAATGATAAAAAAGATTGAATTCATTTAAAGGAAAAATGTAAAAACATAACTTAAATTTGAGTCACTGTTTAATTTATACATTTTAAAGAAAGGGAAAAGGTAAATAGTAAAGAAGAGAATGTCACCAATTCTGTTATGGTAAGGAAAATGTATCAAGCATCTTTTTCTTTAAGACACAGTTTTTATTCTCCTCTATTTATACCTCCTTTTTTTTTAGTCATAAAAAATCCATTATTAAATTTGAAGCTTTTAAAATGTACTCTGTGAGGTCATGACCACTTTTGTGCTTTAAAAGTCCATTTCCCAGGATTTCACTGAACTATTTTGCTAAGAGGCTCACACTCTTCCAATGTGGCCAGATGTGTCAGTCAAATAATTGAAATAGATTTTATTGCAGGTTTGGAAGGACTTCTTCTCCCACCCCACTGTATTTAAGGATGCTGGTGATAAATGTACTCGTTTTTCTTTTTCCTTGCTTTATAGTCACTCTATCTTTGGGTCCTGAGTTCATGAACCTTTTGGTCTTATAATTTCTCTACATCTGAGAAGGGTTTAAAGAATGGGTAACAATTGGTATAAACAAATTCTCATACACACTTATCCTACTTTATCTTCTATCTACACCTGGGATTAAACATGGCTTTTAATCTGGTCAATACTTGGTGTTCTGGTTTAAAGGGGGAAACTTACTTTTTTTTTTTTTTAAATAAATCATTTGAGATAACGTCCCCACATGCGAGTTGGTCAACATAAACAAATCCTGGAAGAGTACTCAGATAATTGTCCATTTAAGGGAGATGGGTCTTGACAGAGAGATAGCTGTAGGGTGTTCACTGTGGCTCACAAGCTCATGTTTCAATGCTAAGAAAGAGGCAAAACTGCAGAGCTGGGCCAAGGCCAGTCCCACCTGGCTCACCTGAAGATCCAGACACTAGTGGCCAACACTGAATCCATCTGGAACCCCCAAATTCTTGTAGACTGCAGTTTCCTTATTTTTTGCTTCTAAATTTTATCTATTTTTGTTGTTGTTGTTGGTCAGATATTTTTTAAGATA